TAATTATTCTTATTGTATTCTAATTTTTGCGTCATAACTTTTGCACTGTCCACTTCCTGCTGTGACAAAACAAATTTCCCACGTGTGGGACTAATAAAGGTTATCTTATCTTATAAATAACATTTTACTTTACATTTTAAAAGAAACCTTCCCAACACTGCTTTTAACCTTTCAGCCAGAGATTGTAAAGAAGCATGAAAATGAAAGCATGAAAATGAAAGCATGTAAACGTAAATGGAGCTTTTCTACGTCCAAAGTGAATATAATGTACTCGTGTTGCTGCAGTAATACTCCAATGAACAGTCTCAGAGAGATCCTAATTTAGGGACATTCATCCTAAAAGGCGGTGTAAACTGTTGTAGCAGGTGGTGCAGTGAGAGCGTGTGGCAGCAGCCTCCTGACCTGTTAGCCACTATGCTGGGATAGTAAGCCTTCTGGTTATGGTCCACGCGCTGGTCGCTCTCATGGATGAAACGCTCCTGCTCACTGAAGGCTCGGATAACCGACGTGCCCAGCAGGGTTTCATTGAAGTGGGTGTAAATTGGGGAACGGCTGACCGACTCCAGACGCTTCAGCTGGCGAGATGACGCCACATAAAACCTCTGGACAGAGCAAGGATAGACACATGTGACTTATACAGTGAGAGTACAAGAAAACAATTATTGGAATGTGATGTGTTAAATTTGTTTAGATCACAGGAATAAGGAAGGATTTGTTTGTGTGTTTCAGTGTGGCTTAGCTGTAGCCTGAGAGTGTACTTGTTTAGAGGGAAAGGAGTTTATGGACACTGGGGGTCTGCTGTCATAAAAGGAGACAGGGAGCTACAGTGGGGGGTTGCTGATGCTTGTACCTTTAATAAAAACTCATAATTGTTATAACTTAGAAGCAGGTTTGCAGGAGACTCCACCTTAAATGTAAATGTAAGACAACAAGAGGCCACTGGCCCAGTGGGTGCAGAGTGGGCGTCTCAGTGTTTGTAATGTGTTAACTCTGTTTTCTATGTTGTCTGGAGGAATCTGGTGTAGCTTGGGTGAGGAGATTCCTTTTATGACCCCCAGGAAGTCACGTACACAGAGGCACACACACAGTGCTTTGACTGTTACACTCACACAGCTACATGCACACTCACGTGCTCGTGCAGACACACACAGACACAGAGTTTGCAGCACACCATGGGGGTTTTATGATGGGGTCGCTGGCACCTCTCCCCTTCTAGAAGATGCTTAAATGAAGATGAATGAAGATGAATAAAGGTTTTGTGAAAATGGCTACTGAGTCTGGTGCCGTCTCTGGATGCCTCGAGGCATAAAAAGAAGCGGGGTGAAGCTGATTTCGTAACAATAGTCAGAATCACAGTGCAGGGAGGCGTAGTACTGTGGGGATAACACTGGAATATACTGACACTTCAGAATCAGTTTCCCTTTTCAAACTCACCTGCACAAAAAAATAGAGCAGACCCAGGAAAGGAATGATGATACTGACTAGAGGTGTGGCAATCAGGATGATAACACAAGAGCCCAGCACGTTGAACATGGAGCCCAGGAACATCTTAATAATGCTGGGGATCAGCGTGTCAATGGTGTCCATCTCTTTGGCAAAGCGGTTGACCAGGTTACCACTGGGGGTTCGCTCAAAAAAGGACATAGGTGAGCGCAGGACATCGTACAGCATGGACTGGTGGAGGTACCGGGACGCCAGAACACCCCCAATAGACATGGACAGGGAGTATCCAAAGACAGCCACACCTGAAGGACAGCAGAGGAGTTTGCACAATATCATGACTTATTTCTGTGTGAAGAGCACACCTGCATCCAGCAAGACACATAAGACGAGTCTATAACTGAGGGGAACGAGCTGGAGAAGGGGGGCCTGGACCCCAGGGCTGAGCTATATGACCAAGCTCTCATATATAAGACATTTATCGCCCTGACAACGATATCACAGAAATGTTACACTTTCTGTAAATTCTGGGAATCTCGGGCAGCTCGACACTGTGAAGTGTTTCCAGCTGGGTGTCGTGTACCTGGAGTCGAGTGTTTTGACCGATGCATGAAGCTATACACTTTTTAGACATAAGTTGTAACGGCCGCCGTTTTCTTTGCATTTATTAGACGGCGTGCTGCGGGGAAAAGCCTGTTTTTAAACGTTTGAGTCTAAGCTGTATCTGGAGCACCTGACGGCTCTTTTTGCTTCTCTGCATTCTGTCAGGTGACTCTTGTGTTGGTGGTTAACGAGGTTTGCTGTGTTTGACTCTGAGGTGTTGGACCGGTTTGCTGCATAATGTGCATCGTACAGTTTTCTGGTCCGTGTCAGACTTTTCATAACCAAACCATGTCCGTGCTCGAGGTGGCCCCTCGATTAGGAATAAGGTCATCATTTCAGTTTATTTTGAAAAGTCTCAACAGGCTCTTCAGCTTTATTGTGAAAGGTTTATGTGGAAAATAAACAAGAGGAAGGCATAGCCACACGCTGGGTTTACCGTCGTTGTTGCTAACGACAACACGTCTGTAGTGTGGTTATTTTAAATATAAAGAGAGAATACAGCCACTACAGTGACCGTCAGGACCATGAAAGCATATTGCTGTAAACAGTTTATTTTGCGACACCACGAAACAAACGATAGCGTAATATTTTCATACTGTCATCAGATATATAGCGTTATATCGAACAGCCCTACTGGACCCCATCTCAGCTGTGACAGTAGGACCAAGGGCACGCTGCAGGGTTAACTAAGCATATTATTAGTGGTGGTGGACACGGGGTCACCCTGCTCTGTGAGCTGACACCACATCACAGTCTCCCTCCATCTCTGTCCGGTGGCACCTACATGTGCGAGTGTCCTCTGGTGCTCTAGCTTCCAACAGACATGTGATTAAGTAAGCACACATGTCAGGCCTGTGTTGGACTGGCCACCTAACATTTGCGTGCTGTTTGTTTGAAAAACGATGAGCAGGAAAAAGCAAAGGTGCCGTTTCCTGCTCGTCGTGATGTGTACAATGGCTACCCTTGGTGTTGCCTCACTTTCTGAACCAGACAAAAACAAGAGTTTTTCCTGTCATGCTCACCCTGAGACAGGCCAAAGGCACCATACACCCCCAGTCTCATTAGTCTGTTAGGCTGCGTGCCATTAACCACAGGGTCATCGGTCCACAGACTCAGCCAGTAGTTAGAGAACAGGGAGAGCAGGTGATGGGCAAGAAACAGCAGAAGACTGATGCAGGACAGAAGCACTCCAATGGACTTAAAATAGGCCCAGAAGACAGACAGCTTAACCTGGGGAGGACAGGAGAGCTGCTGTGATCCCAGACTGAACACAGACACATTATACAGAAACATGTGCATTTATACATGCGACCACATGCAGATCCACACACCTGCCCAGTGCTGGCCTTGTCAGCCTCCGTCAGCTTCCCCACCTCGGGATTCTTGGGCTTCTTGCTCAGCTTCTCGTCTGCTGTGGTTGACTGTTTGGATGCAGTGCAGACACCTGGACTGCTGCTTAAACAGAAGGACACTTATGTGCTTAGTGAGACACCCCAGCCCCCCAGGACCCTAACCCTAAATCACTCACCCAGTAAGAGTGGGCACGCTGCCGTTCTCCAGTCGTTGGATGCTGCTGTTTGGCACGGGCTCTAAATGGAGGAAGGAAATTTAAAACATGAAGTCGATCTGAGAAGACCAGCTGCAGTATGATAAAATAATGATCAGACTTCATCTTAACAGAACTACTACTCCAAACACTGCATGGTGCTACGCTACACAGCAGCATGACACACTCCTCACCAATGTTATCAGCTTTGTCGACTGCAGCGTAAGTTCGCAGGAACTCTGCAAAGGCTCCCTCTGTGGCCATGAGGTGCTGGTACGAGCCCACCTCTGAGATCTCGCCCTTCATCATGACCAGGATCAAGTCAGCTTGGGGCAGGTAGCTCAAGCCGTGGGTGACCAGCACACGAGTCTGTACATGGCTACACAGAGTTAGTAAACTTGGTCTAAAAGCATCTATGCTGCTGAGAGACAATTTCAACAACTAAAACAACTTTACATTTGGATTTGGATCATCTTATGTTGTTTGGATAATTTCATACAATCTACAGTACTGTGCACAAGCCTGAAACCACCACAGTCTCTTAGGTTTTACCTGTAAGAAGCCAGAGGAGTTGTTTTTTTTAACACAATCTTTTTGGGGCCTTTTTGATAGCAGAGTGAAACAGGGGGAGAGAGAGTGAAAGGCCCCACATGATCGCCTATGGGTCAGCTTTTACAACAAGGTCAGTGTTATTCACAGACAGCTGTAGACGTTCCCAAACATTTTCTGGAGACATTTTTTAAACACTGATCTACGAATCATTCAAGACTAAAATGCACATAAACTCAAGGGATGAACACAGAGGCTGCTCAGTGAGCAGAAAAACAGCGCGACGTCCCAGTTTGACTGGCAGAAAAACAGCG